GGCTGTTAGTGGCATGTTGAATTTACTTTCCTCTGTTTGCTGGAACGTTCATGTTCACTAAAGATATCAGTGAAACAGAGATCTGCAGAAGAAAACATGAGTGTGATTCATCATTAAAAGCTTTAACAGAAAAAGCAAAAATTCTTGGAGACATTCCAATTAACTGTGGTAAATTTATTTTTGATTGAGATGTTTTTGCTAATGTAGACATAAAACTGGGTTGTATGGAAGTAGACGCATTGGAGGAGGTCAAACTAAGCCTTTGAACTTCAAGTAGTTTCTGGGTGTTTCTTGCTCACATTTGGTGGTTTTTCGGTCACATTTTTCCTCACTCATTTGTCAGTAAAATATAAAGTCCGTCTTTACAAAGAAAAAAACTTCCATTTCCTTTCAAACCTGTCTAAAAAGGGCTGTTCCTCTGTCAAATAAAGTGATTTTTTTAAAATATCAATTTTAAGCTTTATTTGATAATTTTTTCCTGTTGGAACCTCATACATGAAATGTTCAAGAACTCTCAGAAAGAAGAAAATCTGACAATTACGTGTGTTTTTACAGTTTTCAAGCTTATAAATAGTGTTATTTTGGCCATTTTTCTTTGTCATGCCTATTTTTGTTGATTTAAAAAAAAAAAGAGACACATGATGAAACATCACAATATGAAGCAGAGATTTCATAATTACAACATTTTATTTTTTATTTACCTGAAATTTTTACATTCCAACTCAAAGTTGAGCAGTTATTGAGTCAGAACAGATACCTATGCAGTTGTAGCACCAGCCTTAGAGTGTATTTAACTTCTGTAATTTGAGTTGGCACTACAGCTGATCAAAATGACAAGTAAAATGCAAAACCCTCCGATTATTGGACAACTCAAACAGACATCCTGCTGAAGTAGCAGAATTTTTGGTGGAGCTGTTAGAGCTTGCATCTGATTGGTTTAGATAGTACCTAATAAAGTGGCCACTGGGTGCAACAGCAAGAGACATGATGGTGAACTTACTTACAAAGTGCTTTCTGTTGTATTTATAGCATGAACATGTGCCAAAATATGCCAGATGTCCAAAATAGAGGCTGTAAAGCCACTGAAGAAGCTGTTTGTAATTCTTCCATTTGTCATGACACTGTAGCAAAGATCTTTGCTGGTATTTTTCTGAAGCCTCAGTGTTAAGTAAAATTTCAAAGAACAATGTAAATCTCACAGTTTTAGCAGCATGTAAAAGTTGCTAAAGGCAGTTGGATCCTGCTGCAGCCTGAAGGCGGACAGTATTTAAAGGCCGGTGGTCATCGCGAGGAACTGTTCAAGTGGTGATCTGCTGGTGTATGGGGGAACATCTGTGCCAGCTGGGCGGTCAATTGCCCCGCTGAGCCAAAGAAAGCCTTGGTTATTTTAGATCTGTAAGCTCTGCTCAGAATTGTGCGTCCAAAAATAAAATAGCATGTTGAATGTGGCTGCTGGGCTGCTGGCTTCTTATAATATCATAAACAGGCCGAGGGTAGCCTGAGTTGCACGGACAGGCTCATAATGTCAATCACATTTATCAATCAGTTTAATAAGAGCAACTCAGTCATGTCTTCTGTGCAGTATGATGCAAAAAGACATAAATCGGGGGATAAAGAAAATATGTTGCACTTCTTTTGATTACTTGTTGTGTAAAAATAAGGGGAAAAAATCTGTGTAATCAGTGTGTTCAACATTTTTCCAAGTGGCCATAAGTGTTACCAACACTGGAAAAAACAGAGGCTCCACACATTTAACTTTTAACATTTTTACAACCTTTTACAAAGTGGAAAGTTGTTTTCTGTCTACTCTGCTCATCAGCTGTGAAAACATGTTTCACCACGCTGAGTGTATCGTCCAACAACGTGCTCCTCTGTTCACTGTTTAGAGCTTTGCTGCATTTATTTTCGTTTTCCTTTCAGTCTCTCTTGTTGTGTCTGTTTTGTGTCGTGTTTGTCCTTTTGTTTCATTTTCTGCCTGTTTTTTGTTTCCCTTTGTGCCGTTTTGTATCATGTTTTTGTTTTGTGTCTTGTTTATGTCATTGTGTGTCTCTTTGTTGTGGTTTTGTTGCTACATATTAGAACGAACTAGTTCCACTTTTACAATCCCTACTAACTTTTTCACTCTCCTCTGCTCTTTAGCTGAAAGATGTTTCACCATGCTGAACTTGTCATCCAAGAACTTGTTCCTCTGTTCACTGTTTTTGAGCCATGCTCCATTTAAGTAGTAGTATTCATATTTAATATTTAGATCGCAAAATTGATATCCGGATACCACCCCGACGACTGAATAGTCGGATATTCGGATGTTCGGGTCCAGCTCTACTCTTTTGTCATGTTTTTATTTTGTTTTTGTTTGTTTACAGACTGTTTTTAGTGTATGTTGTTTGGAATTTCTAAATGAAACTTGTAGGGCTGGACCCGAATAGCTGTGCTGGAATCGGGATATCAAACTTGATCTCCGAATATCCCCGCCGCCGCGGAAACGGAGCTGTCACCGCTAACCTAAACACAGAAACTGGTCTGTGTAGCCAAATGCGGCCTGTGAGTGTGTCACGCTCACTGTAGCTCGTCGGAGCCCAAGCGCGCACCCCCCCCCCCGTCGACATAAACACTCACCCGTCACCACTGTGCGGCACCCCCGAATATTTGGGATATTCGTCATTACTTGGGACCGAATGTCCGGAGATCAGACCAGCCCTAGAAACTTGGAGAGTTAGGTGATTTTAATGAAACATTACAATTTTCAGCTTAGATTTGGTTGTTTGTCATCATGGAACCTCATGTAAGAAATGTTCAAGGATCATCAGAAAGTAAAAAAATCTAACTGTTATATCTGTTTTTACAGTTTTTAGGTGATAAATTGTGTCATTTTGGCATTTTTTCCCGTACATTTTAAAGATAAATTGCCTTTCAAATCTGATGGTGTCTTTTGGGGTTCAGATGATTAAATAGTTTTTTTGTTTGTTTGTAAAGTTTGTTCTCTGTGTTGATTAGCTTGTAGCTGGTAAATTTGTTCTTGTTGTTGAAGCCACACGAGGTCAAGTTTGTTGTTGTCGCGTCTGAAACCTGATGAGTGTTTGAGCAGCTGAGTCTGACCTTTGCTGGCTACCAACACCGAGTGTCACTGTTTATCCTGGACTCTGCTGACTCTCAGCTGCAGCAGTTATTATGGCCTTTTTATTGTAGAAATAACGTCTGCTGTTTTTATGACTCTGGTTAGTCGGTCATTTCTGATAGCGGTGTTGCTCCACCTTCTGACATTTCCTTCGGAGTTGAATTAATATTTAATATTTTGAACCTTAAACTAAGCTCTGTAAAATACTTGGGCTGAATTTTGAGAATTTCATATTTCAGAACTGGGAATTTTGTGTTTTCACCCTTAAAAAAGCCATTTTAAAGGTTCAGTATCTTCTGAAATGTAACTCCAGAAACCATGAAATTTAGAGAGAACACAGACAAAATAGTTTCCAGCAAATCTAAATGATTTAATTGCTCCAGCAGAGGACATGTTTTTAATTATTGGCCCTTGAAAATTGAAGAAAGTACAAAATTTTCAAACAGAAGGTATTGTGGCCCTGGAAAGTTCCTGTAAGTCTATATATATATATATATGGATGTGTTTTTATTTTGTGCTAAAAATGCAGTCTTTGGTCAACATTTTATCAACTTTTGAAAGCCCCAAACATCTGGAGAATTTGTTATGTGGCAAGACAAGGAGACAGTTTTTTGTTTTTTTTTTTCTATTTTGGCATAAAACCCACTCAAAACCATCTAAAATGACCACATGTTTTTTTTTCTCCAAAAAATAGATTCTAATGATTTAAAGGTTCATCAAAATGACTTTAAAGGTGTAAAAGATCACAAAGAAAAAAAATTTGCCCTTAAAAATGAAAAAGATGTGCAGCATTTTCAAACAAATGTGTTTTTGAGGCCCCAGAAAGTTCCTCTAAGTGTATCGATGTATTTGTTGACATTTCACCAACTTTTAAGGCCTCTAGACTGGTAGAATTTGATGTGTGGCAAGTATGACAACACAAGGTTTGAGTTTATAGATATTTTGATTAAATGTTTACGTGAACTCATAGGTAGGAAACTGGTGTTTATCGAGGTCTATATTGTTGTTATTATTGTGCAAAATTACAAGCTGCGTCCATGTTGTCTTCATGTTGAAATTTATCATCATATGAGGCTGATTTTGCTGAATATTCCCACACAGATACTTTCCCATTTTCCATTCTGCTATGTGAAAACACTGCATGCAGTTCAACCTGAAAACTCTCTGAATTTTCATCACATGACACTTGGTCCTCATTGAGTCAGTCAGAGCTTCAAGGGTGTGTCAAGAAACTCAGAATTTTGTGGGTTAAAAAGAAAATAATAATTTTTAACTTGTATAAAGAATGGGGGGGGGGAACAATCAAAATAATGTGGAATTTAAAAAGAGGATTGAGGTAGAACTCTCACAGTGTTTTTTTTTTTTTTTATAATAAAAGGAAAAAAGCACTCAGAAAAGCATTTTAAAAGGAAGTTAGGTTTTCTTTCAATCCTGCCGAAAAGGGGCTTTTTTGTCTCCGTCCAATAAAGTGACTTTGGTTGAATATCACAATTTAAAGCTTAGATTTGATCATTTTTCTGAAACGCTATACATGATATGTTCAAGGAGTATTGGAAAGAAGAAAATCTGACTGTTACATCTGCTTGGCATTTTTGTCATTGTGCAAAGATAATACACAAAACCAGATAGATTGGGCATAATGACATACTCTGTTCTAGGGCAGCAGTTTATATATCACAAAGCACACATAGAAAACACTTTTTTAAAAACGTATGCTTCATAAAAAATATCCGAAATAAAATCGAATTAAAAGAGGATTTAGAATGAGATGAGATAGAACGCTAACAGTGTAAATTGAAGTTACAAAACGTTTTTTAAGATGCACTGACATAGCAAAAAAGTTTCCGTTCAAACTTGACTAAAAGGTGTGTTTCTGTCCTCTCAGATATCCAGGAATTTTACGAAGTGACCTTATTGGACAGTCAGAGATGGGCGGAGTCTTCCAAGGGGGCGGACCCCATGGCGCCCGTCAACCTGTGGGACTTCTCCAGCCTTCAAAGCACAACGGTGACCTCGGACACTCTGCCCAGCCTTAGCACCAGCATCGAGGTAAAAACTGCTCACATGCTGGACTCCAATCCAGCTGCTCGGTTTTGTCTTTTGTTTCTCAACTGGTTAGGCTTTTTTTTCCCCTCTCCCTATCGTTTCTCCGTAACAGAAAAGGAACGGCACTCGGTAAAAATAGAAAGTGGTAAAAATAGATCACACCTTTTAAACGTTACAGGACGACAAGTGAAGCTGCTCCTGCAGAGTGAAGCAGCCGGATGGACTGACACAGTTTGGTGTTTCACATATTTTATAAGCCATCCAGTGAACTCTGAAGTCTTTCTCCCAGAGGACTGAAAACACCCTCATCTGTTCCGATTTGTCCTTTTTACATGAGGAAAAGGTTATATCCAGGTGGCAGTGGCTCCCCGACAGGTACAAAGATGGCTGGTGCACTTGTGGGTTGAAGGATAAAGGACAAAAACTGTTATTTTTATCAATTTTTGTTTTCCTCTGCTGCACTGAACCCTGAACTTTGTGTGAAGTTACATTTCTAGTCTATAAAATACAATGCTTGTTCCAATTAAACACACCTAAATGTATGCACAAATTGAATTAACTGATTAGTTGAGTGACAGAAAAACTAACTGCTATGTATTTCGACAACTGTTTTTCAAAAATGCATTGCTTCCGGTGTCTAAACTGCATCTAAACATTTAGGATAACAAACACTTGCATCCTACACCAGAAAGAAGTGTCACAGCTGTAATTTAAGATTTGCTTTTTAATCATGTATTGATAAAGACTCGGATGAGTGAAAAAGATTTTTAAGAAAGATTTTCCTATCAAAAAAATGCATTTCAATACATTTGAGGATTTACCTATCAAAAAAATGCATTTCAATACATGTGAGACTTTCAAAGATTTTACTCATTTGGGCCCATTTCACACTATTTTTAGATTATTACAAACCAATCCTGAGAGAAGTCATCATCAGTAGCTCCACATCAACCAACTACAGCGGCAAAAGGTGTTCACTTCACCGTATAGGTGTTAAAAATATAATCATATAACAGTCAGAGGGGACATTTTTCTGCACAGTGAGAAGCAAATGTATAAATAAAAAAAAGTTTGCCTTTAAAAATACCTCTGCTGCCCTCAGGTCTTCCGGGAGGTGGTTCCAGAGCAAAGACTGCTTCATTGTAGGTTCTTGTTCTGACTGTTTAATTAAAGGCCACCAGCAGAAGACCTGAGGCCTCTCAAAGGGCAAATCTGATAAATAGGTGTGAAGGCTGAGGAGCCACTGCAGGCTGGAAACGCTGCCTTTTCCTTTATGTAATAATTAGTGGAAGCGGATGATGGCGTCAAATGTCCTCTGGGAGAGAAAATCTTAAATGGCATCCATCAAATTATTAGTCATGACTATTTCTGACTCAGATCAGTGCCTGTTTGTCAGCAGCGTCACTAATTTTAACATATTTCAGTGGCCTGAGGATTAATAAAGTGTCTCAGTGCACTGAGTCACAGTGTGCAGGATTTACTGGCATCTAGCAGTGAGGCAGCAGATTGCAACCAGCTAAATACACTTCATTTTTTTAAGGATTTTGGAGAATCTAGGGTGGCTGTGAAGTAGCAGCACCTCCAACTTAATTAATTTGCCTCTATGCTCTTCTACAGCGGATTTGAAATGAAGCAATAAAGATGTGATTGAAGTCCAGACTTTCAGCTTTTATTCACAGGGTATAACAAAAATATTGCATTGCCAATCTTGTCTAGTCTAGTCTCAAAAAGTAACTGGACACTGGCTGGTGTTTTGTTTGTTTGTTCTGTAGATACAAAAAAATAATTCTAATGTAATGAAAACACACATCTTATTTTTAGGTGCTAGAACACTGAGTATATAATTGTAAATATTCAGGGCTCCAGAGGGCAACCCAAACTCTGCCATGTGCGACTGAACATTTTCATTGGTCACCAGCGCATCTAACTTTTTGACTTTAGGGACACACACTCAGTTTCAGATAAATCCGGGATTCTAACGCAATCATTCACTCTTTTCGAAGTCATTATTATACTCGCAGCTGTTTGTAACTGTAATAACTGCAGTAACTGTTTGGAGACTAGAAGCTTCTCTGTGCACAGCCAACTACCAGCGTCTACTGATGCATGTGAGATGATCAGGGAATATTGATAAATTGTAGCCTCTGCCAATACTTGTGAGGAATTTAGGGAATAACTGTAAATTGTAGTGTGCTCTAGTGCATTTAAAACATTTTGGCGAAATTGGGTAAGTGCTGCATCTATCGATATTTTATATGAAAGACATTTAGTGAACATAAGAGAAGTGTAGCGTATATCAAAGCTTATTAGACATTTAGGAAATATTTGATTATTGTGATGTCTACAGATGCTTGTGAGGCATTTTAGGAGCATCAGTAAAGTGTACTGTTTAGATGTATGTGAAATGTGTAGCAAATGTCAACAAATTGAACTATCTACTGATAGTCTGCATGCGAGACATTTAGTGAACATTAGTAAATTGTAGCATCTATCGATATCCTACATGTGAGACATTTAGGAACCATCAGTAAATTGTAGCATCTTCTGCTAGTCGGCACGTAAGACATTTATAAATAAGTAAATTGTGCCTGCCTGAACTGCTGAACTGCAACAACTGAGTGGGGACTAGAGGCTTTCTTGAGCACAACAGCCGAGCTAGTATCGCCGCTGCTTAGAAAACATTATTAGCTTGTAAGGTCTACCAACAGTCTACATGTGAGACTTTTAAGGAAAGCTGGCAACTTGTAGCATTTACCAATGCATATAAGCTGTTCATGGAACATAAGTAAATGTTAGCATCTAACAATATTTTACATGTGAGACATTTAGGTAATGTTAGCACATTATAATGTCTACCAATTGTCTGCATGCATTATGTAATGTTCACTGCCTACCTATACCAATGAGGCGTTTAGGGAGCATCAGTAAATTGTGCCTGTCTAAACTGCTGGGCTGCAGTAATTGAGGGGAGACTAGAGGCTTGTCTCTGCACAGCTGCCCAGCCAGCTTCTGCTTTAATCTGTAGTGAGGTGATTAGGGAACATCTGTAAATTATAACTCTATAAAGCAACTTTGCATGCACTTTGGTAATGCTGTGCCACCACCACAAGTAACTTCTCAACTTGTTCCCAGTGTGTTTAAGAACTGACAAACTGGTGACCTTTATGACAATAAAAGGCGCAGTGAAAACTTTTGGGTTCATAAAAATGAAAAGATTTGGTGCACTGGTGCAGCTAATGTAAAAAGTTCTTATTGAGCTAAGCAAGAAAATTGAGAATGCAGTGACTTTTTAAATTTTTTTTAATATGGTTTGTAATTTCCTGTCTGTTATACGGTAACAAGCAAACAGGTGATAGAGATATGGGGAATGACAAACATTTGAGACTATTTACGTGCTTAAACCACCAGTTGTGTTTCATTTTTAGTGACTTTTAGATGTCTTTTTTTAGTTGTAATTTGACAAACTCTTTTCTGCGTCAGTATTACAAACTCCAGGTGAGATTATTTTGTCACTGCACAACTTGCTTTTAACCCTCTGAACTCCGAGCACCAGTTTCTGGACGTTTTATTTGCTTCTGTCACATTTTTCCTCACTGTGGACTCATTTTTCACTACAATATAAAGTCCTGCAGCTTTATAGAAACAGAAAAACCATGAAGAAGGAGAGAGAACTCAGATGTCATGAAAAAAGTAGAATTTTTTTATTTTAATTTTTTTTAATCAACATGTCCAACATTTTTCCAAGTGTCCACATATGTAACCAACACTGGAACATATCTACATACTACATACATACTTTTCTCTGCTCTGTGTAAACACAGCCTGCAGTTCATCTGACAAGTCCATGAATTTTTATCACATGATTGTTGACCACAGCCAAGACACTGAAGGTTTCACAGTTGCAGCAAGGGGCCCAGATTTGTTTTTATTTACTTAGTTTTTACAGAATCTGGTTATCATAACCCTTTTTTCTTCCATCCATCCATTATCTATACACCGCTTAATCCTCACGAGGGTCGCGGGTGGGCTGGAGCCTATCCCAGCTGACTTAGGCAGGGGACACCCTGGACAGGTCGCTAGTCTATCTCAGGGATGCACTTAGTGACAAACAACCATGCACACTCACATTCACACCTACGGACAATTTAGAATCAACAATTAACGTCAATATGTTTTTGGACCTTGTGGGAGGAAGCCGGAGAACCCAGAGAGAACCCACTCTGCACGGGGAGAGAATGCAAACTCAAAGCAGAAAGATCCCGGTGTCCCCACCGGGGTGCGAACCGGCAACCTTCTTGCTGTGAGGCAATGGTGCTAACCACCGAGTCACCTTGCAGCCCCCCTTTATTCTTGACATTTTTAAACAAGACATGAAGAATAAAGTGATTTTTGTTCAAATTTCTTTAAGATTAGATTTAGTTAATTTTCCAGATCAAACCAAAAGTTGCACATGGCAAATGTGGAAAATTGAACATCTTTTTAACTTTTCTTTCTATTCATATAGTTTCAAGATGATAAGCGGTGTAGTTTTGAGGATTTATCTTTTAAGTTGACATGCCTCTTAAATGAGCTGTCAAGTTTTGCACTTCTGAGGGTTGAAATTGCAGCACATCTTCAAAAACGAGTGTTTATCTTATTATTCATGTTTTATCATTCTGAGTCCTGACTATTGTCATGAATGCAGAAGTCTGAAATACAGAACAAGTGATTAGAGAGGAAAAAAAAGTTCAGTTTAGTAACATGAAAGATAAACGGTCTGATCTGTTTTCTATGTTCAACAGAATGAATGTTACTGTCAGCAGGCTTCTTTCGTTTCTCTGTAATCCTGTGTTTTCATAGCAGTTTATGGGATTAGCCAGAAATTGGAATATAATCCACTAAATGTTATTTTCTGTCTTTGTATGAAATTGAATTTTAAGGCTAAAGTTTATGAAGGAAACGGCAGCAAACAGCTGGCGTCTGATTCTCTGCAGCTCAGCGCTCAGACTCTGGGGAAGCAAATGGACTTTTTGGTATGAAAACATTCAGATTAGTGCGTCTCATGTCTCCGAGGTGGCCGGAGGTTATGTTTGTGAATGCTGATGATATTATTCTTTGCCTCGTGCACAAAACGGGACAGTCCAGCAGGCACTTAGTTTAGAGCATCATCCTGCAGACTGACTTTCAAATACCACTGGTGATGGAAGCTGCTGTCTGTCAGCGAAAGATGCTAACAGCAGCTCTGAGGTCTTTGGTTTTGGCCGCAACTTACATGAAGTGACTCGAGAACTGCTGCATCAATGTTCTCAGTTTATATTGTATTAGAACATAGTGGAAGCTGCATTTTTCTCTACATGAATGTGTTCAAATTTTGTGTATTAGTAAAAATGTAGAAATAGTTTAAATTATTTGTTGACCTGTCAAACAAAGTGTCTTACTGGTCTTTTGTTGCCTGTTATTATTGGTCGTTTTGTTTTCTTGGAATTTAGGTTTTTTTTGTTTTGTTTTGTTTTTCTGAAACCTGTATTTGTCCTACAGTAGAAGGCAACAGGACCTTTTAGTTCTTAAAGATGTTTTGTGTTCATCCAAGATACTTCCTCAGCTGTATCTGCCTGGAGTTCCAAGTATTTATTCTCAGCCCCAAATTATGCTTAGGCTTATGAATGTTTTTGGACATAGTTAAAATTATTCATTCTCTTTTTTTCTCTCTTTTTTTGCTCGTTTGTCATTTCCAGCCAGAAAGAACCCATTTGTCAACTGCAAATTCCCTGTAAATCGAATGTTGCCGTTGCTAATATTGTATGTTTTGCGTGTGTGTAAACATGATGCACATCCAGGGTGAGTGGAGGAATGTATGTGATGGTTTTTGCTTCTTTAATAGGCTAACAGTTTCCCCCTGTTTTTAGTGTTTGTGCTGAGCTAAGCTAAGCTAAGCTAAACATGTCCTGGATTCATTTGGAGCGTCTTGCTTTGTGCAGATAAAAGCCATTAAAGTGACCCCTGTGGGCCTTTCTGTTTTATTTTCCTCCATCTGATCCAGTCACAAGCTCTGCACTGTACTTTTTTTTGCTTGAAGACGAACATTTTCTTGCTGTGAGTGAAGGTTTTTTTTGTTGTTGTTGTTGTTGGCTTCATTACGTTCCCAGACCGTGATAGAGCTGCAGCTGAATCAGCCAGATGTGGTCACGTTGGTGTGATAAGGCTTGTTAATGGCCTAAAACTTACTTTAATTAAGGCTAATTAATGACCTGAAACTTATATGAATTAAAGGTCATTAATTAAAATTCACCAATTTATGGCTCATTCACTGAGGTAAAGCTCATTATTGACCTAAACATGTACATCACTCAAGGCTCATTAATGACTAAAAATTCACCAAACTGACCAAATGACCTGAAACTTACACAAGTGAAGTCATTTTGATGACCCTAATCTTGGATGAGCCACTGCTCAATGACAACAAATTCACCCAATCAAGACTCATTAATGACCTGCAACTTACATGAATCAAGATTTGTTAATAGCCAGAGACTGGTGAAACAGACTGAGGAGGGATCACAGGACTGCAATCTAAGTGATAAGTGGCGTTGCTTTGACTATTCTGTGTAGAGATGACTGTCCCAGCTTAACAGAGATTCCTTCGCTCTTCTTTCAACATAATTTATTTGTTGCAAGTCGAGTTCAGTGGAAACATTGCAGAAATAGATGAGAAACCTTTTTTATAAAAAATTTTATCAGCGGTATCACGTTTGAATGCGATAAACTCTCTACATCTGGCACTGAAATAGAACCGAACCACAGACAGGATGTTCAGATCCAGTTTTTGTTGTAGCTGCTGTGTTGTTTGCATTGAATGCCTTCTCTTTCTTCCCTCTTTCTCTGACTGTAAAACACGTCGTCCTTCGTAGGACTCCCCCCTCCTAAATGAAATCCTGCACACGTTGGCTCAGGCCAAACGCTCGCCTGGCCTTCACCCACAAGTAAGTACTGGACTGCTGCTGTTGGTGGGGGGGTGTCCACCTTTGCCGCATGCCCCATCAGAACTCATGTGCTTTGGACCATCAAGGGGCTCTGGGTCCAGGGTCTGGGGTCTGGGGTCTGGTTGGCCCAGAACCACCTTGAGGTGTCGCTGTGGTTCAGAAGGTCTGGGGTCTGAATGTGAACAAAGTGAAACCAGAGAAGAAATCCAAGAAACAGCCGAGATGAGAACAAATTTCACTGTTATTTTCTTGTTTTATTTACACGTTTTGAAGCATAAATGAATACTGCTGATCAAGTCTGCCACAAATTCTTCATTTATAAAATTTAATGGCAGTTTTTCTTCTACTTTTTAAGATCTGTGAATTCAGATTTTTTTGTCAATTACTGAGGTTTTGCTGTTGTGAAATGTATCATGTTTGGACATTATAATTCATTCTAGCTCAACCTCAGTAACAAGTGTCAGTAAAATTGCAATACTGTAACCTTTATAAAGGTGCAAATTATGATTTTTTTTGGTAGAATTTTTAGCGCAAAATTTCACATGACTGCATTACATTAACGACAGTGATATTTGGAGTTTATTGCCTCATTCTTTACAGATTTGGTTGACATTTCCAACACTTAAAAATTATAAAATAACAAGAGACATAGTTTAAGATATTAACTAGGTTGTTACCTAACAATTGCTGTATTTTATATAGTATTTTTTAAGATTGTATATACAATAGAAAAGTAAGTAGAAACAGCAACATTAAAGGAAAAACAGTTTTTTACACTCTGGTTTGGTTATTTTTGTCTTAAAAAGAAACCAACTAACTCAATGGAAAGTGGAAACCGTATTTGAAAAAGTCTTGACGTAAACACCTAATTCACACGATTGATCATCTGTTTCTACGTCTTGAAAATCATCACAACTTTCCACATTGCAAAAACCTGATTATCAAATTTGTATTAGTTTTCTCTCATTTTAAGTTTTTTCAGCTCCACCTTCTCACAACATCATGCAGATGAATTAATTTATCTAAAGCTGTTAATGCCAACAAGTCTAACTTACGTTTTCTGTTTTACTTCTTTTTTTTTTTTCTCAACATTTCAAAATTTGCTTTAAAGTCACTTGAATTTAAGGTAAAATTTCAGTATTTCTATTCTGGTGGTTTTGATTAGAAGAATGTAGCAGCTCCAGCTCCCCTGAGTTATTGTGTAAATTTGGTGTTTTAACACATTGTTTTGAATCCAAACTAACATTTTAAACCACCAAACTCTCACAATAACACAGGGAACTGAAGCTGCTACATTCCTGTCTGTATTACCATCAGACTCCATAGACAACAACGGTAGTTTTATCTCACAAGACATGGAAGTTGCTGGTCTTCTTCCATCTGTCTTTTGTGTTTTGATCTATACATTTATATCCTTACTAATGTGTTAATGCACCAAAGTCAGACAGCAGTGTACCATCAAATTTCATGTTCTGTGAGATAAAAATATTGTTTAGAAGGATGTAAAGGGTTCAGTTTCCTGTATTATTGTGCAGCTTTTTGTTTTAAAACATTAACTTGTATCCAAACTAACATGTTAAACTACCAAAATCACTCAATGACATAAGGAACTGAAGTCGTTACATCCCTGTCTTCAAAACCACAAGAGTCAATTAACAAAAACAGTAATTTTACCCCGTGGAACGCAGACATTGCTGGTCTTCTACTGTGTGACTTTTGCATTTTAACACATTTATTTGTATCTTAACTAACGTGTTACAACACCAAAATCAGATCGCAGTAGACCAGCAGCAGATTTTGAGTCTAGTAGCTTTAAAGCCACCAGATGCCATCGACAGAATCAATAATTTTACCTCACGGAACTCAAGAGTTGCTTGTCAAACACTATGTGATTTGGGTGTTTTACTCCCTTCATACGAGTCTAAACAGCGACTTTTATTCTCTCCAAAGCAGTTAATGGAAACAACTAATTCATTAGTTTTACAACATCTCAAAAGTTTACTTTAAATTCTTATACAGAAACACAGCCTCTTACTTCTATAGGCCAGCTCAGAACGCTGCGACGGGCAGCTTTGTTTATACTGATGTGAAGATGCTTGGCAGGACTTGACTTCTTCTCTGGTTTTATGTTGTATTACGTGTGTTATGTGACTCCAGATCAATAAAGAAGAACCTCAGTGACACTTTGAGGCGTATAGTGGTGGGTTCAGGGGTCGTGGTTCATCATGCTTCATTCGTTGTTTTTTTTTACATGTTGTTGGGTCTGAACAGTACAACTCCTGTCCTCAGTGCTGGAGAATTGATATCACAACACGTGCAGCTTCCAACGGAGTGGTGGCCTCAGCTTCTATCTTAAAGATATCAAATAATACATTTCTTCTCATTTTAGTGTTTTGTCCAAAAGTAAGTATAAAATAAATCACATCAGTAATGAGATAACTGAAACAGTTGGAACAGTAAATATGAGACATGCACATTTTTGGTAAAAGTTAATGCCTAAATTTAAGGTTTTTAACAGAGAAATGTTGTCTAGTTGTTTAATTTTACTTTAAGTGGTTTCAGATTTCATGATTTTACTCACACTTCCGGTTAAATAATTTGTTTAATGATAAATAATCCAGCTAAACTGCACACATGGATAAAAATAGCTTATGAACATGTGTTTTGACTGTAAATGGGAAGCATAATCTGATAATTTTAGTTTTTCCCCCTGAAATTAAAACAAAGCCAAAAAAAGAACAACAGCTGCATGGAAGCAAGGAAATCTACAAAAACAAAAAAAGGCCAGGATATTTTAAAAAGTATTCGTAAATAATGTTTTGTTTGAAAAAACTTAGTTATTGATGTTAACCTGCATTTATATAGTTTGAAACTATTTAAAATATATGTCAAGGTGTGCAGTTGATTCCTATTTAGTTTTTTAGTTTTTAATTTTGAAGTCTATTGATTACAAACTCAAAAGTTTTAGTTTCTAGTCTGTTATTATTTTTTAGTCTTAACTTGAATTTTAGTATCTGAAAAATGTATACATATTTTAAGTTAATTAACTGAATGACATTAAACCTAAACTTCCAACCTGCAGCAGGCTCCTGAACCTGGACCCTCGATGTTGCCTCGTAGTTTACAGACTCGGAGCGACTGGAGCTGTACTGATGTTCAGGACCTTCATGGTGGTGGTTCATGTGGATTTCAGTTCTGGTTTTTTGTGCAGGTTACAGTCATACTTTGGCTCTTTAGGTTTCCTGTGTGTGTTTTCATACTGTGCTGCTCCTAAAACGCATCGGTCATCCTCACATTGTTCACATTTTTAAGTTTCTAAGCTGACATAAGTGACGTTCTTATACAGTAAATGTCTTGGTTTAAAAACAAAAAAAAGATAAAACATTGCACAACCATGACCCATTTATGCAAATTCCCACTGTGAAGCTCAAACAGACGTCATCAAGCACTTGAAGCTGTGTTTGCAGAAGCCAAACTAACATCTGATTCATCTCAGGTCATAAAACAGAGCTGACAGAACAAAGTGGATGGATGTGAACGTTTGGCAGCTAATTACACTTCCTCAGGTTTAATGTTGCAGCATTTGTCTGCAGCTAAAATCACTTTACAGATTTTGTTTCCCTTTATTTTACTGGAGATAGCTGTGCTCAGCTCGTTTCAAAACCTTTAGAACGACAAAAATCGAAAGCATATCGCGTCATGAACAGCACTGAGCAGAAGGTTTAGAGGCTGTAGATAAAGGCTAAAATATTTATCATGATAAAATAGTTTTTGCCAAAGTGTTTTCTCATTATACAACCTAAAAACAAATGTTTGGCCCAACAAAAAATATTTACACAACAGTTTGCATCAGTTTTTTGACACCTTCTAATAAAATAATGTCCAATGATTGAACTATATTAAGTTATGTATTAGTTTTTCTCTTACAATCAATTGGTGTTTTCATTCCCAATTTAAAAATTGGTGGCATCAACACAAGTTTTTGAAGACTTGAACTCTTGATGTCAAGGTGTAGGAAAATCAAATTATCAAGCCATTTTAATTAGTTTAATTTAAACTCAAATCTCTGCATTAATTGATTTAATGCACAATTCAAGTTGTAGTAAACACAATATTTAGATGAGGCAACATTATTATGTCAACACAACTCATCAAAACACTGTTTGCAACTTAAAAGGTTGATCTAATTCAGCATCCATTTTATAAAGAAGTGGAAAAATGTCTCTAATTACTTTTTTTTTTTAAGACTGACACTGGCAGCAGTTCAGCTGAGTCACTAGTGGTTTCACAGATGTACAGAACTTTGTATTGATTATTTTGTTATGTTTTTGGCGCACAAACATCAGGAAGAAAGCTTTGGAAAATTTGTTTCAGCTGAACAGAAAGGACACAAACAAGCAGATTGTGTGTTGCTTTAAAAACATGTTCAATTCAATTTTATTTGTATAGCGCATATTTACAACAAGTCATCTCATAGTACTTAACAAAGGCAGAGACAGAAACACCCAACAATCCAAAACATTTGGATTCCCTATAAGCTTCAGCAGTCCGCAAGCAGTCTGCAACAGTGGGAAGGAACCGAAAACCCCCGCAGGGGAAAAAAAACCTCTGACAGAACCAGGCTCAGGGAGGGACGGCCATCTGTCTCGACCGATTGGGTGGATGTCGGATGAATTCTAAAATTTAGTTTACAGTTAAACAAGTTATTAGAAGTTATTGTCCTTTTGTAACAGGAGGCATCATGGTGGGGGCAGCAGGATGCAGAAAGGTGAGGCCAGCGGCTGTAATTCAGGAGCTCCAGATCCAGAGACATCCACAGAGCGAGCAGGCGCAAGAGAACCTCGGGGGGAGCTACAATTTAGGGAATCAACTTTATTAAGTTTTTTCTGTGTCATTATATCTTTATTAGAAAATTTGACATTAGAAAATGCAGAAGATACAATCAGTGTGACATTGCAGAAAGAACGTTATAGCAGGAAATGTGAATAAGAGGAAAAACA